GGAGATTTTTAATTGAATTTCGAGTGTGCTAAATCTGACATAAAAACAGGAGTATTATGATGTGTAGTTGAGCCCTCAGGTACAGATTTGCATGCAAAAATAAGAATTTATCTTGTAAATCAAACCACATTGTATGGCTCAAATCAAACTTTTAAAGTTGGCACTGCCTATATGCCGAGTTCTCCATTTTAAGAATAACGAAAAGATATTAGTCTGACTTCATACAATTTTATGAATGCTGACTAATGAATCCTACTTGGATGTTACCCTGTTTTCCTGAAAATAAGACCTAATCTGAAAATAAGCCCTAGTATGATTTTTCAGGATGCTCATAATGTAAGCCCTACCCCCTAATTAAGCTCCAGTTAAGTGAAAGCCTGCCCCCCACCATTGTGCAGCAACCAGAAGAAGATGACATGACTGTAAAATAAAGCATCCCCTGAAAATAAGCCTTTTTGCATTTTTTGGAGCAAAAATTAATATAAGACCCTGTCTTATTTTTGGGGAAACAGGGTTTTTACAAATTAGCTGGCAAAAATGGTTTATGAAAACTCAAGGTATGTATGCTTGTTGAAAGAGTTTTCAGATCATACTTTCATATTGTGTCTTCCCAGAATGTGGGGGAAGAGCTTTGTGATTTATTGTCTTCAGGAGATAACAATTCCTATATTGTAATGAATGCTCCTCCATCTGATTTCTTTTGGGACTCTCAGCTGTAAGCTGTTACTGATAGTTGATGCACTTTTCATTATTTTTAATATATAGCATATAAAAAGAAATTTATTAATATTTACTTTCCTGACAATGTCATCAATTACAGGCTTTCTCCTAATATTCCTTTAGTATGCAAACTTGGTTTCCACTATGGTTTTCAAGTTAATTACTCTGAAGAAACTTGGAATGTATTTCTCTAAGATAAGCAGATTTTAAACCAGGATATAGTGAACTATTTCTCATTGCCAAGAAGTATAAAGCAGGTCCTCCATAAGTGCTGATACAAAGTACAAAGGGAGCAGGAGGGAGCAGGAGAAATAAAATAAAGAGATAGTTGGCACTGGGAAGGGAAGGAAAATATTAGTGGCAGAAGTCACAACGCTGCAGTTGAAAGAATTTGCAAAGGTCTTTGACAGTCTTTCTTTTGGTTACAGCCACTGGCCTTCCAACTCTAGGTTCACGGGGAGAAAGACCTATGCATGTATAATTGATAGCCAAACTTTCCTTTGAGCTTGAAATGGACAAACTGGGGCCTGGCCTGCCATTAGGGAGAGCAAGGCAACTGCCTCAGTCTGGAGATGCTGGTATGCAAAGCAGTACCGCTGTCCATCTTTCTTGCTGTTTCTCTTGAACGGCTCTAGCTGTTCCCTTCTGCTTCACACCAGAGCTCTGTCAGGCATGCCGTCTGCCCTGTATCCCCTAAGGTAGCAAGACAGGTACCTGTACCTTTTTTTTTACAGTGGAAGATCCTGTTGCCTGTATTGAAGTAAGATTTGTTAAGCTTCCATATATCCAATGGAATGGGGTGGGGAGAGGTTGCTATCTTGTCTTTGGCCTCAGACAGAAAAATCTTGTGCTATAGCCCCGATGATGGCAGTTTTGTACAACCCTCACCACCCCCCTCTTTGTACTTTGAAAGAACGAGGAAAAGAATAATATACCATTCTAGCCATCTCTCTTGCAATCACTGATTTTTATTTTTTTTTACTGTACATCTGTCTGAAGTTTCTTGGTATGCAGGAAGAACCGGCCTGGATAAAATTAAATGATTTTTAAAGAATCAAATTGATTGAAATCACCAATCAAAAATCTATTTTTAAAATTAAAATTATATTAAAAAGTGATTTTTAAATTTTATATTGTGGAATGCACAGAATGATTTCATTACTACTGGTTTAGCTCATTAAAGAAAGGGCATCCAGTTTTGTTTGCATTCAGGATCAGACAAAGGGATGGCAGGTGAAGTCTTCTATGTGTTTGCAGAATTTGCAGTGGATAAAGAGAGATTTTGATTGAGATTTCAGGTTTAAAAGAAGGAACATAAAAATCTTCAAGTCAATATCAGTGCTATTTATCTGTGCAGTTTTATTGTGTGACCAGACTATCTTGCCAATTAATTTGTTTCCAATCCCCTTCCTCTTTTTGGATCTTTTTCATGCAGGGGTTGAATCAATAGAGAATACACAAGACACACAATACAAAGCATTTTAAAATAAGAGTATTCTAATGATGGCATAGTATAAAAACATGGATTTGGATTTGAATTTCTGCATTTTTGAGACTCCAAGCTGATCATTTCCCTAACATTAAGAGTCTGGTGTAGCTGACCCATGATTGCATCTCCCCCTTGTGACAAACTAGACCAGCTACGTATACACTTGAGAAGGTGCTACCAATAGATTTTCAGAGACTGGGCACATCTGTTCTATAAGTTGCATTTTTATGCTGTCTTTCTCTTGGTGAAGAGACTCAAAGCTGCTTACAAATCATTAGAACAAAAAATAAAACAGAACAAAACAAAACAGAATTTGTAAACCACTAATAATTGTTAAACACAATACTATTAAAACAGATATCTAAAAACATTTTTAATTTTAATAAAATTGTTTTAATAACAATTCTTATTCTGTGTCCAGAACACAAACAGAATTCTAGCTCCTGTCCTCTTAAGATGCTGGCCACAGAGACTGGTGAAACGTTAGGAAGAAAACCTCCAGAACACAGCCAAACAGCCCAAAAAACCCACAACAACCAATTTTTAAAAACATTAAAAGGTAAAGGTAAAGCTTCCCCTTGACAAATTGTCCAGTCATGTCTGACTCTAGGGGGCGGTGCTCATCCTCGTTTCCAAGCCGTAGAGCCAGCGTTTGTCTGAAGGCTGTTTCCATGGTCACGTGGCTAGGGCGACTTAGACACAGAACGCTGTTACCTTCCCAGCGTGGTAGTACTTATTTATCTACTTACATTTTTACATGTTTTAAATTTTACATGGTTTAACCCGCAGTGCCACCGTTAATCATTAAAATGATATAAAAGCAGGAACTGTAATAATTCTAACAATGTTAAAATTAGATATTAAAAACTTGTCTGAAGAGATAAGTTTTCACTCGTTGCTGAAAGGAGAAGAAAGGGAGAGAGCAGCCTAATCCTAAGAGGGAGGACATCCCATAACTGGGGACAGCCACCAAGAAGGCCCTCTCTCAGCTCCCCGTCAAGATTACCTATAAGGTTGACAGGACCAAGAAGAGACCCTTCCTCTATGATTTTAAGATCTGAGGATGATTATATGGGGAGAGATTGTCTATCTATGATAGATATAATTTACATAATTTTTTTTGCATCACACCATGTAAATCCTATTCCATTTCACAGTCTTCGGAAAAATCTGGGGAAAAAAAGTACTTTTTGAACTATAGCTTCCTGCCCATGTGGAGAGTGGCTAATCTTGCTGGGGGATTCTGGAAAGTGTAGTCTATAACAGTAATTTTTCAAGCTCTCAATGGTTAGTAACCGATCTCCTTTTGCAGATATCTCCTGTCAGATGATTCTGCCAGCACTGGCTTATCTTCCAACATCCCCTATAAGACCTGTGTTTTTTTCCTCTTTAAACCCACTGAGATATAATGTGCTATGTGCAAACCTAACTTTCAGCAGTTGATCAGAAGAAATATTGGATAAATTTGTGTATAGTTTTTTTCCGCAGCACAAATGACCTGTTAATGGCTGCAAACTGGAATCACAAACATGCACTGAGCAATACTGGAGAATTAAAATCCAGATGAATGTTATTGCTCATCTGGCCTTAACTTCACTGCCTATGTGACTGCTCTATGATTTTGGCTTTTTCACTTGGTCTACTGAGACCTCAATCAATGGGTGACGTGATTCTGTTTTGATCAGAACTGCAATGCCATGCAGTATGATAATATCTACACATTATTTATTTATTTGATGTATAATAAGTTTTTGTCCAAGCATTGTACAAGCAATTGGGCAATCACTTGATTGGCGAAGCAACATGTATGAATGCTTCACCTAGATTACGTTCTAGAAATGTGGCAATGCAGAGTTAAAAGAAAGCAGCAGGACTTTATTGGGAGCATGGACTGTTATAAAACGATTAGAGCCTATGTGATTTTTCATCTACTTTTTCCTCTTGCAAATAGCATCTGCCTGATGAGACTTTTCCAAACGTCTTGGGGTAGTTTATGCTGGCAGTGTCAAATCTTTCTGAATAGACATCCTGCTTAGCTTTCTGGCTTGTGCCGATAAGATCTTTGACAAAGGAGAGGAGGTGTGAAAGCCTAATGAGAAAAGACAAACATGGAAAAAAGTGACAGATTACAAAAACTATGGCCTCCTATTTTACACTTGCATTTAGATTTTGTTCTTTAATAGAGACTGATTTTTTAAAATTGTTTTTTCTGAAACAAGAAGGTGTAATTTAACTTCTGGCATTTTTAAAATTTAAATTGTGATTGAAATCCACCTTGGAATGAACAGAATGATTTCATTACTTCTGGTTTAGCTCATTTCACATATTACAAACAGTGGAATGCTTCTTGTCTCTTTATGTAGTTTCAGTTCAGAGTGATGTAAGCAGACGGGACAGGGAGAGGTGTACAATTATCCATTACAAGTAAAATAAATCTGTTTGCTTGTTCTGTTGATATGAAGAAGACAACAAAATCTGTTACTTGTGAATGTTTCCCTGTAATAGCTTTTCATGCATCATTTATGACACTCTTTAGCATTATGGCAGTGAAAGGTAAACTTAACATGGTGCTAAGGTGACATGATTTATTGTGAATGAATACCCCTGTTATTGTTGGAAGTTTTATTTACAATCTTACATGCTGTCTGTAGTTTGAGTGACTCAGTGGGATTTTTCTGGGCTGGGGTGATTATCTGTCTGTCCAGTACTAACCAATTGTTCCAGTTTTGAATTAAAAGAGAGCTCCACCTCTTTGCTGAGTGTTCTATAGCTTCTTTTGTCAGTTGGTGGCAGTTGTTTGTTGTTGTTATCTGTTGGGCTGGATGCTGGTATGTTTACGGTTAAAAAAAAAGCAACATACGTAAGTCTGCAAATTCAAGCAACTTTAAGTAATGAAATGTTTTTAATTCTTTCTCCTACAAATGTCTCAGAGTGAGTTACTGAGACTACAAGTGTTAGTTAATGAGAAAGGGTGGACTCTGAAGATAGCGATTCCCCTCTGTCTACCTATATACTTCTGATATAGCAAAAAGAGTCATTTACAAGAAAATTTCAAAAACTCTGCAAAAGTTTCCAGTGAAAGCATTGTCCAAAAGAGTACATTTATTAGGCTCTTTCCTCTTATGCTTTGTGAGTTCGTAATCATATTTGAGCAGAGCAGTCATCACTTAATAGTTGTTGTTTAGTCGTTAAGTCATGTCCTGCTGTCTTCCACTGCCTCCCGGAGTTGGGTCAAATTCATGTTGGTAGCTTCGATGACACTGTCCAACCATCTCGTCCTGTGTCGTCCCCTTCTCCTCTTGCCTTCACACTTTCCTGACATCAGGGTCTTTTCCAGGGAGTCTTCTCTTCTCATGAGATGGCTAAAGTATTAGAGCCTCAGCTTCAGGAGCTGTTCTTCCAGTGAGCACTCAAGCTTGATTTCCTTTAGAATGGATAGGTTTGTTCTCCTTGCAGTCCAGGGGACTCTCAAGAGCCTCCTCCAGCACCACAATTCAAAAGCATCAATTCTTCGGCGGTCAGCCTTCTTTATGGTCCAGCTCTCACTTCCATACATCGCTACACTTCCATACATCGCTACACTTAATAGTACAAGTAGACAATCGAGAATTTGAAGCTGGAACTCCCTGTCTCACAACATCATCCCTAATACAAAACTAAAAGTTTTGAAAATAGATGCTCGTATCTCAAAGAGAACGACTGAAATCCCTAATAAGGTGAGTGCTGTCAAACTTTTATTTATCCTTTATTTATTTGTAGGATATCTTTCACCTGGTGAGGGAACCCAAGGCCGTTGACATTAGAACAAGTAAAATTAAAAGCACAATAAATTACAGATTAAAAAGCAATTACAGTACACAGTGATAATAATTAAAAATCCCTGGAGTATTTTTTTAAAAATTAAAACTTTAAAAACAAATTTAGAAAAGCTAAAATTAAGCATCTGGGGACTCAGCTTTTATTAAAAGACTGCACAAAAGGGTGGGTCAGTGGAATGATAAAAAGGTGGGGGCTCACCTACCTTTTTGAGAGAGCATTCCACAAACTAGGAGCAGGCACAACGAAAGCTCCTCTATCGTTTTTCCATCAAACATGCCTTTGATGGCAGTGGGACTAAGAGAAGGATCTCTGAAAATCTTAAGGCTAAAAGGGCTCATTTAGACAGATACAGTCCTTCAGATAGCATGGATCCAAACCCTACAGGGCTTTTTAGGTGACAACCAACACTTTGAATTGAAAAGATGATATAGATCAGGGGTCTCCAAACTTTTCACTGTGAGGGCCACATAACATATTTTCCACATTTTTGAGGGCCAAAGGAACGCATGCATGAGCACCCACCATACTTTGGATACCCCTGGTGTAGATGGATCAGGGCTAGCCCAAGACAACCTGCTACCTGTGATGGAACAGCAAATCTGTACTGTAGGCTGGTCAGCGTATTTGGCCATCTGGGACATAAGATTTTACAAGTGACTCAGCAGTAGAAAGCAATATCCATCCTAAGATGTTAAATGAAATGGCATTTGCTGCTGTTGTTTTATATTCGTGACCTGCTGCCTGTGGTACATGCCACATTCTGCCTAATAATAGGGTTGACCCGGCTATGAATAAGATATTAAGACATCCATACAGGCATCTCACCTGGCACAAATATGAGTTAGAAGAGGTAAGGATCCTGATCATTCAGCCATGTTCAGATTGAATTATGGTATTTCTTGCTTTGAAAACCCCATAGTGAAAAGGATGTTACAGTACATGAGGCATGGTCTTGTTTTTGTTTTTTTTATTACATAGAGACCACATAGTTAATGCAATGAAATCCACATAAATAATGCAACTGAACTTTAGTGGTGCTTGGGTAAAGTGCTGGAGACTTGGTTTGCAGGAAACTAAGGGTCATTCTGTGTGTTAACATTTCACATGTCTGGTTCTTCTAAAAATAGGAAGTGCAGCAGCAGTCTCTCTCTCTCAAAAACAACTTTTTCTATCCAAACAAGCTTCTGGCAGAAACCAACCCATCTTGTACCATAGTACTTGTACCACAGAAGGAAACCAGTATTGGTTGAATTACAACTCTGAGGTAGTGATTTTAAATAGATTAGTTAGTATCTGTGGGGCAAAGGTTAAGCTGAGTCCCCACATTTTATGATCCACGTCCTGACTAATCATCCCCATGACACCTGAAAAAAAAACCTGTTTAAATGTGGTTTTACATTTAATATACGTAATATATAGCTTGGCCCTTAGTCCTTTGAGAGCTTCAGAAGCAGTTTCAGCCCCTTTTTTTCCCCCAATTGGTTTTTCCTTGATAAATTCTGGAGACTAAAGCTGTCTTGGTTGAGTTGAGGAAGGCGTTTCTAAATGTTCAAGCTTATTGTTTCTGGATTCTGGTTCTCATGAATCACAGGCCAAACACAAAACAACACAACCAGGTTTCATCTCACCTGCTAAGAAAGTACTAAAGAGCTGCTTCAGTTCACTGCTACCCCACTGGAACCTGAAGAAATCATTTTATATTAATAAAGATGTCATGTTTCTCCAAAGTAATTTAGTATTAATTAGCATATTTTAATTAATGCTCAGTTGTAGGTTATTGCCCTTACAAATGTAGTATAAAATTTGGTGACACTTGGAAGTCTCCATCATTATGAATGTGTTAGGCTTTGAAATATTAGGTTTAGTAATAGTGAAATTAGTGTTGCAATCATTTAGCACCTTACAGTAGGTTCCGTTTCAGTTTGCCATCTAAAGAGATAGCATAAAACCTGGCTTATTCGTATACAAAATTGGAGTAGACACGCCATCAAATCTTTGACATGTGGAGCTGTATACTGTTTGTTTGAAAATTCTTCTGAATGTTCCAGTGGCGAGCACTAAAACAGACCTTTTCCTCTGGTAAAATAACAGTAATCTTGAGGAATTCTACTGGCATTAGTGTTGATTTATTCTGAAGCTTCTAACTAAAATAAATTGGCTTCTATAATTAGCCAAAGTTTTAAAAAAAGTCACTAACTCTGTTACTGTACTCTGAGTTTACACTTAGAAATATTCTTTAGGAGGAAATTAATAACAACAAAAAAAGCTCGTAGGGAAAGGCGCAGACTGTAACTGGGTGTGGAATAAACCTGTGTTGGTTCAGGTAAGTGAAAAATAGAACAGGTTGCTTTCTGCTTATGTGCCAGGAGGAAAGGGTAACATTTCTATTTTCACTTCCCTTTTCAGTTTGATGCATTCTATCTTACATTATTTTCAAAGGATTTTAATTGGTAGAATCAGTTTTTAGACAGGTGCATAGGGTTAAAACATGAAGAAGATGAGAAATCTCTGTTCTATACGCGAAGCATAAATTACGATTTTTAAAAATTCAGCATATTATTTGAATCATAAATTTTATATTGCTTAAAATCCTGCTACAGACCACCCACAGAAGGGTAATAACGTCAATGGTGGAGATTTTCAGTAATGAAAGACCTCTCCTTTCATTCCACTCTTTCTGCAGCTTCCACGTAATGAAATTGATTATTCTTGAGTTGAACAAGACATGGGACAGAAGTTTTTAATGACCAAAAACCTCCCCCTGTTGGGGACATTATCATCCTTCCACAGGTGTATCTTGTGCAACAGGGTTTTGGCCATTATTTCCTTTGATTTTGAAATGCAAAGTGGTGTGATTAAAATGAAATATTTTGTACATGTAAATAAATTCAGTTTGAAACATAAATCTCAGTGCCCTCTCAATTTCTATTTCATAAGAAAGTAATATGTTGTTCTTCCTCTGGTGAGATTACCCTTTTTTCCTTTCAGTTTTTTTTATTCTTTATAGCCAACTTTTTATGGCTTGAAGGAACAGATGTAGATGGAAGTTGGCAATATATTTGATAAAAAGAATCATTAAAAGTCTTTGTACATTTTATTCTTGTTCCTTTACGTCCATGTGTTTCCTTTTCTTTTCTCAAGTAATGATTATAATGACGCTACAACTATTAATGGCGCTGATGTTGTAATCTCTCTGGGGAAAAGATGTATTTCTTCCCATGCACCAAGCATTCGTTAAATATTGCTTATTTATATGCTTTTTGAAGGCCAAGGATTCATATTTTGAGTGACTTTTCTGCTTCTCCAACTCTGTCAGGGCCATTTAGTTTTAAAGGTTGAGTGATCTGTATTTTTGACACTTATGCCTCTGATGCTACGTACAAAGAAGATGCAAACTCTGCTCATCCACTGTGTGGTGAGGCAAATGAGTTGGGAGTTGGGATAGGTAAATATATTAGCTTGCTTTCTCTATGTATGCTGGGAATAATTGTATCTAATTACCTGAATCCTATGCATGTATATGTAAAATTATGTAAGTTGTGTTGGTGAAGTGCTACTAATTAACAGAGTGCTTGTTACATTCCTTGTCACATGCCTGGCCATGTCTTTGACATGTGACCAGGAATAGGACCAGCACTTCGTTTATTAAAAGCAACTTAACACAGTTTCTATGACTAGGATGTTTGTTTCTTACACAGGTATAAATCACCAATACGCTCCTAGCCACTGAATTTGGGCAGTGCAAGTGAGGAAAATTTAGTTTAAATTTGTTTTTGATGAATTTGTCAACATTTTTAATCTTCATGTGCAAAAAGGGAAGAACATGAGGTTTAATGCACACTATGGTAACATGGTGAAACATGGAAAGCAAAAATGTGTAAGTCACACTCATCTGCTGTGCAAAGCCATTCTTAGCTGACTAAACAGCAGCTTGGGAAGTATTTTCTATAATTACAACTGCAGCTTATTTGCTTACCTTTAGTTTATTCTTAGTAAGTGCTGCAGTCTTTCCTGAAGTACCTTACTCCTCAAGTACAGTCCTACCAATGGTAGCACTGCCTCCCAGTCTTTGTGGTAATTGTGACATCTTCATGACTTCATTACTTAGTTTCAAAGGACTCAAAGGCTCTTGACTGCACACCCCAATGTTCATCCTAGTGAGTATGAAGACTTGCTAAGGAGAACATGAAAAAGGTCAGTTAGTTCAGACATGAAACTTACTGGATTTGAGAACATACAACTTCCAATTAAGACTAGGGTGCCTATGGACAGTTAGGGAAAACAAATTGTTCTATTTTTTTGCTCTCTGAGAAAAAAATGAACATTCTGTTAAATGGAAGGGTGGTGGCGCTGCGGGTTAAACCGCGGAAGCCTCTGTACTGCAAAGTCAGAAGACCGGCAGCCGTAAGATCAAATCCATGCAATGGAGTGAGCTCCCATCGCTTGTTCCTGCTCCTGCCAACCTAACAGTTCGAAAGCATGTAAAAATGCGAGTAGAGACATAGGTACCACCACGGTGGGAAGGTAATGGCGTTCCGTGTCTAGTTGCGCTGGCCATGTGACCACGGAAACTGTCTTCGGACAAACGCTAGCTCTATGGCTTGGAAAAGGGGATGAGCACCGCCCCCTAGAGTCGGACACGACTGGACTAAATGTCAAGAGGAACCTTTACCTTATTTAATGGAAGGAACAATTCATATCACATGACTATTGAAGAAGAGGCCCAGTTTACCTACCCTGCCCTCCAGCCTTCTGTTGAGCAAAGATAAGCAGTTCAGCCCCCAACAATGTACTCAGTGCAAGGTTTAGACCTAGAATGTAACAACTGAGATATCAAAGAGTGTGTGGACCAGTAATACCTGTTTAGGAAGATTTTTATTGAAATGTTTGCTTTTATTCTGCCATATTTTTGTTACAGAGGGTGGGTTTATTAAGTATTATTGTCTCATTTTATTTATTGTAAGCTACCTTGAATTCTGAACTGTTCACAGTATATTGATGTAAAGACTACTACAGGTCGAAAACTAGCTGTTAAAAATAGTGGCCTAGTAAAGGCATCGTCTGCCCTTTCTTTTGTACTTTGAATTAGAGTTGCCATCTTTCAGTTCTCCAGATCTGGGCTCCTGTATCTGTATGTTATTCAAATTAAGTCATATTATTTACATATTAGACAAATGTGCACAATATCCAAATTAAGCACATTAGTTAGTGCATTGTATTTCTAGCAAAACATTTCAGCGTTGACATGATTTATATAGTAAACACCAGTAAGAGAGATCCAGTGTAATAAAATACACCCATTGGGTAGTTATGGAATTTTAGAAATATTGGTCTTTATTTCAATGCCTGGCTTTCAAGGAGACATTATCTGAATGCAATTAACTTGAAATTGTCTCATTATGCCCAGGGAGCTTAGATGCCTCTGCAGTTGAGTTGTTTGCTAAGAAAGAATCCCTCAATAAAATATGAGACAGAGATATGGGGATATATAAAGGCTTCTGTTCAAGAGTTGGTCCAAAACTCTTTTGTACGATCTCTTCCAAGTATCTTCTGTAGCACACCTGCACATTTAAGAGGTGAAGTGGGATTCTCCCTAGATGAAATACATTGTACTGACTCATGAAATTTTCAATACTGTCTGCACCAATAGCTGCTGTTTTGCTTGACTGCTATGGGCATAACTATGATGCAATATGTAAATAGGAGCTTGTCAACAATCTAAAGAAACAATTCACCATATCATAGCCAGAAGACCTAAACTAGCAACAATAACCATATCATAGCCAGAAGACCTAAACTAGTAACAATAGATTATATGTGCATGCATAACGAAGTTGCAAGTATCGTTTTATTATATGTGCAGGCATAACCAAGTTGCAACTATCGTTTCTCAGCAGTTACCCAAATCATATGGATTACTTACATTTTTAATTCATACAGTGGAATCTAGACTTATGGTCAGCTCCACTTATGAACTTTTTGAGATTCGTACTTATCCGGCCGCAAAGTTTTACTTCGACTTGCGGCCGGAGAATCGACCTACGGACCAGAAGAGGGAGGCGGGGAAAGTGTCAAATTCAAATTTGGCGCTTTTCCCGCCTCCCCCTTCCAGTCTGTAGGCCGTGGCTCTGCCTCCGGATGCCTTCCAGGGCTTCTCCGCCGCCATGGGAGGCATCTCAGAGGTCCCCCCCACCGCCGATAGTGCCTCCAAAGCACTATCGGTGGTGCGAGGGAACCTCCAAGATGCCTCCCATGACGGCGGAGAAGCCCTGGAAGGCATCCGGAGGTCCCTGCCGCCGCCACTGCTGGGAGCCATGCTAGGCAATCCTAGCCATGCTTGGACTCCCAGGAGCCTGAGCATGGCCAAGATCGCCCAGCGCAGGGTGGCTGCCAGCGGCGGCGGCGGTGGCTGCTGGGAGCCTTCCGAGGTCTCAAATGGCTTTCCTCCCCGACATTGGAGGAATACCTTTGGGAGCTCCAAAGGCAAACAGGCAGGGAGAAATAGCTGGAAATTCGAATTTCCAGCCCGTTCTCCCTCCCTGTTTGCCTTTGGAGGTCTCAAAGGGCTTTCCCCCTGACATTGGAGGAAGCCCTTTGAGAGCTCCAAAGGCTCCCAGCAGCAGCGGTGGCGGCGGGGGGACCTCCGGATGCATTCCAGGGCTTCTCTGCCTGGAAGGCATCCGGAGGTTCCCCACCACCACCGCCACTGCTGGGAGCCAAACCGCGCCGCGCCGGGCAATCCCAGCCATGCTTGGACTCCCAGGAGTCTGACCATGGCCGGGATCGCCCAGTGTGGCTCAGCTCCCAGCAGCGGCGGCGCAGGAACCTCTGGAGGCCTTCCCCACCGCCATGGGAGGTCTCTTGGATTTCCCCTGCCGCTGCTGATAGTGCCTCTGAAGCACTATCGGCGGCAGGGGGGACCTCCAAGAGACCTCCGGCAGCCACACTGAAGCCCTTGGAATCCTCCAGCAGCGGCGATGGCGGGGAACCCCTTGAAGACTTCAAAAAGGTAAGGTTCATTTTTTTAAAAAAAATATTTTAATTTTGGGGTGTGTGTGTGTTTCTGGGACGGGTTACGGATTAATGTGTTTTCAATGCATTCCTATGGGGAATGCATTTTCAATTTGAGGACTTTTCAACCTATGGACCCCGTTCCAATATGGATTAATTCTGTAGGTCAAGACCTCACTGTATAAAATTCCAGACACTTCCAGGTTTAGAAAGTGAAACTGCAATACTATACTGGGATGAGCAAGTAAAAACAATTGCTGAAAAAAATCCTCATGTTATCCTTCTGGATAAATAACAAACAACCATTATAGAAGTTCCATCAACGAGTAATTTTAAAAGTACAGAGAGTACAAAAACTCAAACTACCAAACATCAAGGGAAGAAATTAAACCAATGTGGAAGCAAGACCATGTTCTCCTCCTCCCATAATAAATTCAGCTACAAGAGTCATTCCAAAATTGTTTGCTACCAGTATAAAACAATTACTAATAGCTGATAATTTTTTCCTGAAATTCTAAAAATCTGTGATTTTGCAAACATCAGCTCATCCACACATTTAAGGACTTGACTCCTAGATATGTCCCCTGAACTAGCAATGCTGAGAAACAAGAAGTATGTTCATCATCATCATCATCATCATCATCATCATCATCATCATCATCATCATCATCATCACCAGCTATTCATAATTTATAGTCCTCCTCTTATTTTTTTTTCCCAGTTCCTTATCTGCTTTGGGCAGCACCATTTCCAGCTGAGCTCCCAGAAGGCTGTGGAAGATAACATGGGAACTGATGTTTCTAGAAGGCTAGTAGAATCATTGACTCATGGAGTAATAGAACTGGAAACTTGGAAGGAACCCCAAGGGTCACTGAATGCAACCTTTGCCAAAGCAGGATATGCAGTAAGACAGACAGTATCAGAGCTTGGCAAAACTTTTCTGGACTAGAGATTCCATTATTGTTCAACCAACATCAGTTCAGTTCATCATTGCTTTCTAAGTATTACACCATCTGCAGGCATCTCTGCATTTCTCAGCTCTCTGCAAAACCAAAAGAATCAGGTTAATTGTGAATTGCAACATTTATCCATGAGAAGATGAGTTTTTAATGAATACATTTATGAGCTCCTGTCAAACTATGGATGGCTTCATTTATTGGTTAATCACACTGATAGGTTACTTTTTCACACACACGCACACACACAAAAACAATGTCTGCTTGTTTTGTCTTGTATCTCCAGTTTAGTAACAGGTAGACTGCCTTGAGGAAGGAAGGAAGGAAGGCTTTGAAGGTAGATCAGCTGAGAGATGGGGTAAAACTCAGCCAGATGTTTTAAATTATTTTATATTTTATACACGTGTTTAGTGTTAAATGTATTTTCTCCAAAACACACATATCTAGATTTGTTTGGGTCAAACATGTTTTTCTAAATGTATTTTATCTCAAAACATGGATATAAAAACATAATTCAATCCATCTTTCAATTAAAATGTTGAAACCGTCCTGATGAATGTTACGGTAGCTTGGAAGCCACCTGTCCGTCATTGCTGTAGCGGCATGTCATCTGCCAATAGCGTGACGGAAGGTGGGACATAAGTGGTGGAGCCAGGGTATATAAGGGGAGTGAATGGGTGTGAGTGCTTTAGATAGGGACAGATAGGGACTAGATAGGGACCTGATAGGGACTGGTTAGGGACCGGTTAGGGTGTTAGGGTTTGTTCCTATTGTGAAGAACTGTGCTATATAGTGAAGGTCTGTGAGAGAGTGTGGGAGTGAGTGATACTTTATTACATTGATTGCCTTATTATTTGAGTTGTTAAAGTGATTTACCATTTGTGAAGGGAAAGACCAACCTCGGCGGGTCTTTCTGGTGGAGCCGACTCTCTTAAAAACCTCAAAGAGGACACAGACCAGCCCTCCTGCTTCCCCAGGTCGAAAGCAAGACCAGGGTACCGACACCTTGAACTTAGAGGAAACCCCCCCAAAAGGGGTGGTATCCTGTGCGGTGACTTGGAAAAGACATTTAAAGGGTTAATGGCTGCTGAGCCAAATAAGGAAGATTTGGAGGGAAAGGGGAAGGTGGAGTTAAAGGAGGAGGAAGGGGGGTTGGGGGATATAACCGTGGGCAGGGGATATATCCTTGGTGGATGGGAAATGGTGTGGATCGAGGATCCTTGGACCGGACGCTGGGAACAGGTCTGTGTGCCCAAGGAGGAGGCAGAGCGGAGGCGTAGGAAAGGTCTAATGCAGAGGCCCTCCTATTGGGGAGAGACGGAAGCTAAAGCCTGGCGAAAAAAGCTGCGAGAAGCAAAGGAGGCAAGTGAAAGGGAAAGGGCAGCCAAACATGGCATGTAGAAGAATTGAGGAAGATGAGCTGTTACCTGGTCCCTGGAGTGCCTCGCCAGGCGAAGGAGACCCCTCATGGGGGTGGATGGGAGACGAAGAAACCCTCCCTTTATTGAATCCCTTTTTGCAAGGTTATGACAACCCTGAGTTGGGGGAGGTCCTGGTTGGACCTTGGGGACTTGAACCTGTTGTAACGGTTATGAACAATACTGTAGTACCCTTACCTGAGTTGGACTCAGTGCAAGTGACTAAGCAACCACCACCTGTTAATGTTGACGTTCCAGTTGTTAAGGTTAATAAATCACAGTTAAAACCAGAACCAAAAGCATCGACTCCTTTTTGGAACCCCTGGGAAGCCCCAAAGACTGAACCCTCACACCATTCCTTTTGTTATAACCAATAAACACAAGTTTTTATTTTCAAAATCATTTATTAGTCTGAAGAGGCGTTTGAGGGAATGGTTAGTGGCAGCGTGAATAGAGTGAGTGTGTGAGAGTGACGTGGCACCTCCTTTGTGACGTGTGAGGAGGCTGTCACAATGAAACATTCTGAAAAACTGGTGAAATCCAGTCGTCAGTCTGGGAATTGTGGATCAAGTATTGGCACTGGTGAAAACAGAATCCAAGAGAATCATCTCCATTAAAGATTGTGATGATACCAGCCAGCATACATTTTGAGTTAGGGCTTGAGTTTTTGCCTCCCGATGTAAGATAAGGACTCTAATTGTCTTTTAGGCTTCGTATTATCTGTTTAGATCTGTACATTTTGATCATTTAGACAAGGAGTGTCTTCTCCCACCCACATCTAGCCGAATCACCCGCCATAGCCAGCAGGGATGGCTGAGGGGCCTGACGCCGAGAGAGGCTCGGAAAGGAAAAACTAGAAACCGGGCCTTCTCGGTGGTGGCCCCTCGGCTGTGGAAAGCCCTTCCAACAGAAACTCGGCTGGCACCCTCACTGGGTGTTTTTAAAAGACAGTTAAAAACTTGGCTATTTTGGCAGGCCTTCCCTCCAGTCAGCTAAGTCTTTTTATTTCTTCTTTCCTTATCCTACCCTATCTTGGTAATCCTTTCTTAAATTAATTGTCTTAATTAATATAGCAATTGTATTTTTATGATTAGATATATTTTATATTGATTTATTTTATGTTGTAAGCTGCCCCGAGTATACATGGTCTAGAGGGGCGGGGGATAAATTTAATAAATAAATAAATACACATGCAGTCCCAGGACCTCTCCCTACATCCCAGATTTTTAGAAAGGAGTTTTCAAAAAGTCCCCTTGTGCCCTCCAAGGGATTTGAATGGCAGTGTTACTATTCTTGTCCACAGCATCCTCATTTTAAAAAAAGAAGGGCTTTTCAGTTAAAAAACACATTTTTTTGTAAGAAACAATGTTGGATATGGATGTTTCAACTGCAGGTGTAACTCACTAAGGCTTAGAGGTGGGACCTCCACACCTCTGCTGCTTGCCTACTCCTGACAAAAATAAAAACATTTATTGCTTTTGGGGCAATACTTTACTGTTTGTATTGGAGCAAGCATTTGGGATGGGATCTAGAGATCTTTTCAGGACCATTCAAGTACTAATGCATATGTGCTGGGGTTTCACTCCCCCCCATTGTTTCTAGAAGGAGGACCTTCAGATGTGGTACTTCTATTCTTGATTATGTATGATTTTCCTTCATCATGGATTAATTAGTATTGATGTGATCTACAGCTGTCAGCTGCCAGGATCTACAGCTGTCATGGCAGAAGAGCAGAGGCTGCAATTTCTCCCCTTTTCGTTAATTATTCAGTTATTGGGAATTTCTATCGAGAATTTCAGCTTCCAGCCATTTGATAGGTACATATTATTTGAGGAGACCTCAAACATACCCAGGTGACAAAATTAGCTATTTTACGATATCTAGTTCACAATATGACTTGTAAAGACCAATGCATCCCCACCCTCACCCCAGGATCAGGATATGTTAGTCTGTTTGGTACTTGATTTCTCTTCATCCTTGGTCTGGGCAAACAGTAAAAAAAATATTATCAGCTCATTCTGCTGCTATGGGTTTTCCAAGAAGCAATCCTGTTTCTGAGGATAAGATAGAGAATTACATCATCATATTTAGTGAATTAGAAAGAGAAGGTTTCCTTGATAGCAGCAGAGAGAAAAAAGGGGGGATTCTACCTTACTGATGAAGCATTGATGGGAAAACCTTATACAGTAGTTGTGATATAGAACAGCTCTTTTTGTATCTTTGTATATTTTGATGTTCTAAGTGCATGACTTGTTTCATCTGCATACAGTAAATGAAACAATGTGAGTGGGGTTTTTTTCGTCCTTATGGCAAGATAGTGAGGGATTTTCTTTGCCAGTCTTGGAGAGATTTTGCCTAAGTGTGCAACATGAAAAACTGCTAACTTGCTGCCTTGTTACATGGACTAGCAAGAGCACTGAATAGATTGTTTCCATCTTTGTTGTCAAGCAGATTATCCTTTTGTACGTGCTGGTTGTTTGAGCATAGCTTCATAAAGAGAAAAGACACAGTTGTGTAGGTAAGATCTCTTGTAGAAGAAGTTGGAGAGATCTCAGGTCAAAACAATCTGTCTCAACTGACAGTGAATTAGAAAGATATAGAGATATGAAAGATATGAAGATATAGAGATATGAAAAAAGTTTGCCCCTGTGTCAACTGACAGTTGAGACAAGGGCAAACTTTTTTCTTATCTCTATATCCAGCCAAATATACACTACATAAAGCCCTTGTGCATATGCATGTATTACATTCATACAAATTTAGTTTTATGAATAAACAGGTTCGGAAGGAGATTCTTTGTGCAGTGCTGCATCCCCTCCAAGCTTTCATTAATCTGTAACATATGAAAAGTATGAACCTGCATGAATGTTGGCTCTTAGGTTGAGGCACAGCATGGTACCTGTCCTAATACTGTACTGAAAAACATGGACATTATTTTATACATAGAACAGTTCATGTGAATGAGTTCACATAGTTTTATATTCCTTGTCATCCTAGAAGGGAATCCATACAATACTGTTTTAGTTACTGCTATGCTATAATGGTAATACATTGTGTGAGCTTTGTGTGAAAACAGTGAGGAAGGACTATAATGATATACAGCACAGTTATCAGTGTAATAATTTGGAAGAACTGAGATTTCCTTTAAACTGTCATAACCATTCTAAAAAGCAAATCCACATTGTGTGATGGGATGTGTAAGTTTGTGAATCTTTTCTTCTTTCTTTCAAATGACCCACTGCAAATAGCTAAACCAGTTTTCAAAACCTCCTGGCTCAAGCCCAGGTTAGTAAATGAGGAGCAAAAAATCCAAGAATTACCATTGCAATACAATAAACAAATCAGAAACTGAAAAGGATGAGTCTTAAAAATGACAAATAAAATATTTTGAATAGCAAATAATTTATGCAAAATATGTTACAAAATCTAGGATGCTAAATAAATAATACAGTATACTCTCTTTTAACATTTCTTTTCCATTTTAATTTTAACATTTTGAATGTACCTCCCTCTTTAGAGTTGCTTTATACAAATGGTGGAATTCATATTTGTTATTTTCATTCATTGAATTCACTGTAAAATAGTTGAGGGAAATATTGAGAAAAATAGATTTGCAGTTAAATAATGTATATATATGTATATACACATTATATATATAAAAGAATTGTTACTGCTATATGAATTTTTTTTTTGTCCTAACATTTTGGAAAATCCAAGTCTTCTGTAACCCTCTGAACACTTTAATGTACATATTCTAGTTGCACAATCTTGTATTTATATGCTCAGAAGTAAGTCACACTGAGCTTTAATGGAATTATGCCCTGGTTAGTGGAGATAGGATAGCAGTCGAACTGATGTAACCTTCCTTTATTTTAAAGTGGCAGTACTGTAATATCCCTAGCAATAATACAGTTTTGTATTCTATAAGATATATGAGTTCTGCATCAACTGAATGGCAGTCAGCAAGTACTGCATGAGTAGGTGAAATGCACAAGTAATTTATTTAGATTTGGACCTTTTAAATATTCCTTAAACGCCTTCCCAGCCCTGTGATTTGGTCTGTTTGTATTAAAATATTTATTACTGTTAAGGTGAACCATCTCTTAGTACTCTCTACCTAGAAAACCACGAAAAGTGTCACCATAAGTCAGAACTGACTTGATAGCACATGATTATTAATATTTATTTACCTTTTGGTCCAGATCTGTCTGTGTTTTAAACTAGACACAGGGCTTTGGGTTTTAATCTTTAAAAAAGAGTATATATATATTCAGGCATTAAATAATGAAACAGAAATAGATTAATCCTATGTATGATTTCAAATGTAGGATTTGGGATCTGCTAACAGTTGTTCCAGCCTAACAATAAATGGACAAAAATAAGAATAAGAGATTTTCATAATTTTTTTTGCTCCTTTCTGTCTGTAGTGACTGTTTTTTGTTAGCTTTGAAATGTATGACTTTTTTTTAGTTTTTAGACGTGTAAGATTTTACTTTGAGATGCATTCAAAAGCATGTTTACTATAGTGAAACAGAAGCAAGTATGCAGCTCAGCGCTTCCAGCATCCCCAGCTCCCAAATGTAAATTTCCTTAGGCTCTGATTTGGAGCTGATTCACACCATAGCTCTTGAATGGGTCACACTGCATGACGGAAGTTCCTGCCAGACTTATATGGCAACACACTAATGGAGGAACTGTATGAATAGGTTTATCTACATTTCACTCCATTGGATGTGATCCATTCCTAAGGGAAAACATCCGGATGAGGCTATGCATGAAATGTTCAGCTCACACACTGCAACTGTGCATGCATGTTCAGCAATTGAAAATAGTTCCTGGCTCGGTAGGTCTGTGTAAAGCAGCTTCCCATATGCCATGGCCAGTGATCATTTTGGACTCTTTGTGATGCTGTGCCAAATCAGATCTGTGTCCATCATGGAGCGTTTGGAAGGCATCCAGTCTGAGGTAACAAAACCAAAGAAGTATCAGGATGGCTGAACAATAATCTGAAAGGGTTTGTGTAGCTCCGCATATTATCCCTCCTCTGTTCTCTGTTTGTGTTCTGATTGCGCTGTGAATAGAAACAGCCCAGCTCAAGCCCCTGGGGAGGTCATGGCTTACAAGACAACTTTCCATATGCAATATATTGTGTATGTCAAATCAGTTTTAATTGTAGAAACCTGGGAATTTGCATATCAACTTATGATTATTTTAGCGGCAACAGTGAAAAAAGATCCTTGTACTGATCAAATGTCTGGAGAATTAGACCATGTCTAATAATGGCTACCCAATTGTATTATCTGTTATTACAGTGAATTTAAATAAAACTATATTTTAGTCAACCATTAATTGCTCTTTTTCCTCAAGTGAATGAAACTTTGTTGCTCTGATTACCATGTCTGTCTTCAATGCTCTTTTTGTCTGTGGTGCGTTTTTAAAATACAGTACTACATGAAAGAATAAAACAATGAGTCATTCATCCAGAGATATGTTGTTAAAATATCCCTTTTTATCATTACATTTCATTGCTTTAGAAACCAGGCTGTAATTCAAGGCAACAGTTAATTCTGAGAACGATAAAAAAAATCTTTGATTTCTTTTTCTAGGAAAAAAACCCCACACACCTTTGCCTATGTAAGCTTGAACAATCCAACCTCCTATTGGGTTAATGAATTATTTCTGGAATAAGTAGACAGAATTCTCTACGCAGTCAATGTAGAGAGCACAGTGCAGAATTTCAGAGTGAAGGGTTGTTGTTGTTTTCTGGGCCTAAAAGCAGTAACAAAACAGTTCCTACAAAACTGGGAAACTCTGAATAAAACACAAGATATAACTTTTGTTAATTTAAATTTTTAGAAACTGAAATTTGTAAAGTAAGATGTAATTAAATCATGGTCCTGTACATACCAGTACATCTCAGTATACTGAAACTTTACAATATGAAAAAATACATTAGATCTGTACAGATTTTTACAGGTAGGTAGGATGAGTTTTGAAAAAAGATTGATTTTAAGGATCATACTCTTTCTTTAAAGTCAAAAAATACTGCACAACTTAGCTAATTACAAATTGTAGACTTGAAACAATCTGTGTTTGAAAGTATAATTCTTTTTTTCCCAACTGAAAGGAATTTTGGAATCTGTCACTGAAGAAAATCTTGCTCCTTCATGAGAAGTAAAAATTTGGTGGCAACTCTGGGCTGTAATTCTGACCACATGATCCAATTGAGGCTATCACTGATTTCGTGCAGCTGTTGTGATTGTGCTCAGATCCAGATCAGTTTCTAAGTGCGTCTCCATAGTTTCCTCCTGTGCATTTGTTTCATACGGCTTATGAGAAAGAAGTTCATGGTGTACACCACAGTAACTTATCGTGGGCTGATCGTATGCAAGAAACGTCGACACGTTCATAGATAAAGGTATCTGGAGAAGGAAACAAACATGGAGATTAGTTAACCAAGAGGCAGTTTAGGGCTAATCTAGGTGTGGGATCATGACAGCCCCCACCATTAGATAGCAGATTTAGGGTAGTAATTTGAAGGGCAACATATTTTTCAATATTTACTTTGTCAATATATTTTTATTACTAGGAAACTTGATACACTCCATTCACTTCACCCTGATTTCATGCAAGTTTTTTTTCTGAGCAGACATTTAGATATTATTTTAGTGTATCTTTTTTTAGCAGTGGGAATTTTTGTACAAATTAGCCCATTCACTAAAATATTTTCCTATGCAGTTTAAACTTGTGAACCAATTTTTTTACAAATGTCCCAAATGTTCTAAGGTTTTGGAACACATCTTCCTTTCTTTCGCAGAGCACCTGTTAAGGACAGAAACACATAGTTTTCTGACTGCAAATTTAATCCTGTCCTACCTTCAAGGTTGGAAGGTTCAAATCGGGTAAATCTTCTTAATGAAGCACACTTCTCACATACTGTATCCCTATCTGAGGGACGTTTTAGATATGGTTGTGTAGCAATGAGTAGGGTCATAAAAATGTAGATTTCTGGGCTTCCTGTACTCTGTTTATTCATCTTGATCCAAAAAAATCTTAATTCAAGTCCCTCAGTAAGGAATATAATAATTCTGCTTTTCACACCATCCTAGCTCTTGGAGTGTTGCAGTGAATACTGCTATTGTACCTTTGTGACATGCTGAGGTCACAATTGCCACTATTACATCCCATCAGGAAACCCATGCTGAAATGAAAGCTATATGTAGGGTTCCTTTGATGTTAATCCTAAACTATGGAAGAAAAATAGGTGGATGAAGCAATGTTGTTTGCTTTAGTGAGGCTTCATGCGGCGCCGAATACACCCCAATTAAAAACTACTCAGAGTTAATCAAACCAAGTGAAATAGGTTTCAAATTGCCAAAGCCTTATTTCATCTTGTTATGCCCACAGGAGGCACCTATTACTTCAGCCACCACTTCCCATAAATGGGAGTCTCTCAAAACTTGGGACACATTTCTCCCAGAGAAATGGAGACAGAAGAGGCTTCTGCAGAAGTATAGTAACTCTTCCCCATCCTCCATCCTTCTGTCTTGCTTTTCTGCTTGCCAGCTTCTTTGCTAGATTTAAGACCAGCTGAGGTGGGGCTACTCCTCCTGCATGAATGTATTTGAGTAGAACAAGTATAGACAAATTGTGAGGACACTCGTTTTGCAGGGGAACGATGTACCTGAGCCTTGTATAAACACCATATCAGTTGAGATCCTTATCAAAAGGAGGGAACTGCCTGAGAATACCAACAGTAAGATGATAAAATTTAAATTAGAGTTTTCACAGGAGCAGATTACTCTAGGGATGGAAAGGTTTCATAAATTGGTTCGCTTAAGATACCTTCTTTGTTTTTTTTTGCACACAAGTCAAAGGAAGCTATACAAAATTCCCAGGTATCCTCCCACCATTCAGATACTGATTAGAATTGGGCATAGAGTGTGGTTACACTAGGGGGGAAAACCTATATTTGAATCCAGCTTAGCATGGTTTAAATTGAATTTTTAAAGGTAACTACATGACACAATTGGAAGCTTGGATATTTTCCCCCCTGGGAAGTTTGTTTTTTGGTTCTCTCTCTCTCTCTGTGTGTGTGCATGTGTGTGTGCGCGCGAGGCTGCAATATATTTTGTTTTGTTTTCTATTTGTTATTTTGACATAGCAATATCCTAATTTGAAAGACTTTTTTAAAAAGGCAGCAAGCATTAGGTGGGGGAAGTGTTCTTTCAAAAACCTAGAAACTGTGGGGCTTTGTCAATCTGGTGAATTTCTCTTTTGTTCCCTCTTACCAGTGCTGGCTACTACTCTGGTGTGTATCTGTGTCTGTCTTTGTGTGTGTCGTGTCTGTATGTGTTTGTGCGTATATACTTGTGTGTCTCCTAGCACCCTCGGTCAGACGTTTTCAAGGCTGCTGTCGAAAGCATGCAAATGCGAGTAGATCAATAGGGACCACCTCGGTGGGAAGGTAACAGCGTTCCGTGTCTTAAGTCGCACTGGCCATGTGACCACGGAAGATTGTCTTCGGACAAAACACTGGCTCTATGGCTTAGAAACGCGGATGAGCACCGCCCCCTAGAGTCGAACACGACTGGACAGAAATTGTCAAGGGGAACCTTTACCTTTACCTTTTTATATTGATATATCAGTTTGAAAGAAATGAAAGAACCTAAATATTAAAAATAACACCACAGCATCAGCATCAGCATCAGTGAATGGTCAACATGAGGGTGAGCAGCTGCATGACAAAACCTCAATTGCAACTATTTTAAAAGCCCATGTAGTCAAACAATGTACAACATAGCTTAAAATGGATTAAAAATTTTCCCAAGAGGACACACACACACACACCAACTCAAATATCATGTGATTACCACATGACTTTAACTCAATTTCAAAACCCAATTTATTTTCTTAATGTAACTGTACCACTACTTAGCTTTGGCAAGTTGGCTGTGTTACATACAAACAAGGCATATTCTGATATGTTATATTTTTAAAAATCATTTTAAAGATCAGTATTGAATATAAAAAGAGCATCCAGAATGGAAGCAGGTATTGAGGTGATTCCCAGTGTGGTGTGGTGGACAGAGTGATGGGCTAGGACTCTGGAGAATTGGATTCGAATCCCTACTTAGACATGGAAACTCACTGGGAACTGGAACTGGTAAAACCACTCTACTTAAATATCTGTGTTAGGGTTGTTATAAATCAGTTCCGACTTGACAGCATGTAACATGGGGCAGAGGAACTAGAGACCAAATTGCTAACATGCACTGGATTATGGAGAAAGCCAGAGAGTTCCAGAAAAATATCTACTTCTGCTTCATTGACTATGCAAAAGCCTTTGACTATGTGGACCACAGCAAACTATGGCAAGTCCTTAAAGAAATGGGAGTGCCTGGCCACCTTATGTATCTCCTGAGAAACCTATACGTGGGACAGGAAGAAACAGAACTGGATATGGAACAACTGTTTGGTTCAAAATTGGGAAAGGAGTTCGACAAGGTTGTATATTGTCCCCCAGCTTATTTAACTTATATGCAGAAAACATCATGCGAAAGGCAGCACTGGAGGAATCCCAAGCCAGAATTAAGATAGCCGGAAGAAATATCAACAACCTCAGATATGCAGATGATACCACTCTAATGGCAGAAAGTGAGGAGGAATTAAAGAACCTCTTAATGAGGGTGAAAGAGGAGAGCTCAAGATCAAAAAAACTAAGATCATGGCCACTGGTCCCATCACCTCCTGGCAAATAGAAGGGGAAGATATGGAGGCAGTGACAGATTTTACTTTCTTGGGCTCCATGATCACTGCAGATGGTGACAGCAGCCATGAAATTAAAAGATGCCTGCTCCTGGGGAGGAAAACGATGACAAACCTAGACAGCATCTTAAAAAGCAGAGACATCAACTTGCCGACAAAAGTCTGCATAGTCAAAGCTATGGTTTTTCCTGTAGTGATATATGGAAGCAAGAGCTGGACCATAAAGAAAGCTGACCACCGAAGAATTGATGCTTTTGAATTGTGGTGCTGGAGGAGACTCTTGAGAGTCCCCTGGACTGCAAGGGGAAAAAAACCTATCCATTCTAAAGGAAATCAACTCTGAGTGTTCACTGGAAGGACAGATCCTGAAGCTGGGGCTCCAATACTTTGGCCATCTCATGAGAAGAGAAAACTCCCTGGAAAAGACCCTGATGTTGGGAAAGGGAGAAGGCAGGAGGAGAAGGGGACGGCAAAGGATGAGATGGTTGGACAGTGTCATCGAAGCAACCAATATGAATTTGAACCAACTCCAGAAGGCAGTGGAAGACAGGAGGGCCTGGCGTGCTCTGGTCCATGGGGTCACGGAGTCGGACACGACCTAACGACTAAACAACAAGAACATATGCATTGAGAAAATTAGTTGAAGAAAGTACGTATAATCTTTATAACTGGGCCATTGGAAGAAGATAGATTAAAATAGCTAGAATCCTGTTACATATGCCTGCTGGCTTTAAGTCCAGCAACATAAATCTCAGTACAGTACTGAACTGCCTCTAACTTAAAACATCATCACATGTATTTCTTGTTGCATGCCAGTCACATAACTTGGTGCTATATGAATACCAGCTTCATAACTAGCAGCAATTTGCTAATGAAATTTATACCACAGGACTTACACTGGAATGAATATTCAGTTGGATTCTGGCTTATCGGTTTTAATTTCAGAAACGTGGAAGTAGCCGAATGTATAATTACTGCCCACTTGCAATCCAGTCCCTTTCCCAACAACTAAAATATAACCGCATAAACATTTATTTTAATTCACAGTCTCTTCAGTTTCGCTTGTACCTGTTGCACCTTAGTTACTTTTATAGTTACTGAGGTGTCCTCACTAAATGATTGAGGAGGAACATCTTATGGATCAACTCTGGGCTCATGCTAGACTTTTTGTTCTGACATGGCTGTTAAGGTGACAACGAGGTGGATGGGAGCAGAGTTTGTGGTACCATAGGGTTTTTTTTTAAAGTAACCATGAGTAATTATTTTAGTGACACTTGAGAAATGGTTAAAAATGAAGCATTCTTTTTTAAAAAATCTAGTTATGACTATTACAAACAAGTTGGGAGCATTGGAACTATGTAATTATTTCTAAAACTAACAGGCCAGCTTCTAAAAATACTTAAGACAAATGTGTCAAATAGACAAGAATACCCATCTTATCTATAATACAAAATGCTCTACTTTGGCTATAAAGGAAAAGCTAAAACTGGAGATCTGTAGCTGCTAATTAGTTGAGAACTCTTGTCTCACTGTCCACCCACACAGTACAAAATACCTCTATTTGACACATGATATACATAAGCCTTTGTGGAAAGCAGCTAATGACCTTTAGAGACTAAGCATGTTGCCGAAATGGTAAGCAGAAGAAATGACA